GCAACTTTACTAACACACGTATTCGCGCACGAGATTCCACTCTCTTCTCTTCTCTCCCTCTCTCTCTCTCTCTCTTTTCGCGCAAATGCATTTCTATATTTCTATGCGACTGGAATAGGCAATCGCGATCGCGGACGACACGCAGTCCGCGCGATTCTCGCTTTCTGTTGGCATCAAAAGTGAAAGAAAGTGCCACATAAATTTGGCGCATTATGTGTCGCGATGCATGTGTGTCGGAAACTTTTTTCCCCGCCCTGCGTTCGCGACTTATGTTGATTTATTTCTTATTTTTGCGGCGCAACAAGCGTCGATTTTTGTCACCGGATCGGCCACGAAGTCGCGCGCTTTTGTCAGTTTTCCACTTAATTTTTATATTTCTCAGAAGAAACGTCTCTACTTTTGAAAGTTACTTAATTTTGAAAGCGTTCCTTTCGAGGATGTTCGAGATTGCGACGAGATTTATTGGCAGTTTCCTTGTCGCGAGATTATCGCCGCGTGTGCAAAGAGCAAGACGATAATTACACGGCGACGGATTCGGGCTCGTCGGACGGATTTCTATTCTGACGAAGAGTGACCGTCTGAGGACGTGTCCAGATGAACGGGCGCGCGTGTGTATATATACGTAGGTCCGGTCCAGCCAATTATCAAGTGATTGCTCGTAGATTATAGGAAATGCAGTTCCGCGAATGGAAGGTGTGCGACGTCACATCTGGGAGCGCGTCGTCTCTCCGCACCCTCTATCCGCGCGATTCACCACTTCCTCTTCGAGGGAGGGCGACGGTCCCGTATTCTTCGCGAATTGGTTATCGGTATTTGCCGTTCGAACGATCGAGGCGTTTGCCATTGCTACTTGTTTGCCATTTCCAGAGATTATCCTTCAGAGAGAGATAGAGAGAGAGAGAGAGAGAGAGAGACATTCCATTCCACGGGCTTTAGCAGAGAGAGTTATAATTGATACAAGCAGATCTTTCTCACAATACAATCTGATGGCGGAGAAGGAGAGATTCGAGATCTCGTTACAAGATTCCGCGCGACGGTCGAAAACGACGGCGTATTTTCAAAGTAAAACGTGTGAATTTGTTTTGAATCTTAGAGTCGCAACTTCGCATCTTTCCTTTTGTGCGTAGCGCTAATTGAAAAGTAGATCTTTTTTTAAAATAAATAAAAAAAATAATTAAAAAATTTATAAATTAGAATGCAAAACCAATTTCTGTTTTTAACGAAGTTTAAATTAACAAAAAACGCAATTACTTTTTCACTAATTTAAGAAATTCTGAAAAACGATCTTTCTCTCTCTCTCTCTCTCTCTCTCTCATGTCGCAAAGATATCGCTTCTATTTACCAAAACTTGGAAGTTTGTCTGTTGTCCTATCTTATTGCGAGAAATTATACGCGCTCAGAATTCAACTTTAAGTCGAACGGTGCGACACGTCTGCGAAACAGTCAGTTGATGTTACGATGTTCGCTCTTGAGAGAGAGGAGATACGGCTCCTGGTTAAGTCAAATTAGGAGCGCACGGGAGGGAAGAGGAAGCTGGAAGGGAGCCGTTATCAGTGACAATAATAGTCGCGGCGACTTGGATTTTGCGCGCGGACTGAAGCCACGTCGTCCACATCCGTTATAGATTATTGCTTATCCGCCGCCAATCTGCAAATGGTCGCGCCGGCGGGAAAACAACGGAGAGAAACCTAAATTCTCCGCAATAAATGGCGGAGAAGAACCGATGGAAGAGAGGGAGGGGAAAGAGGAGGGCAGTCGACCGGGATGTATGCTCGCTCGCGGATGTACAGGAAATTCGCCTAGAGACCTCGTATTGGCTATCAGGAAGGCCCGGTTGGTTGGTCGTGCATCGTGTCCAGTCTGCCTGCGCGAAGTTGCGCCAAGTTCCGCAATCGGTCCACTTCCCTCCTCCATGCCTCCATCCCTCCAATCCCTCCCCCCTCCCCCCAACACGTTCAACCGATCATTCTTTTTCTCCCGATATTCCCGTCTCTCTTTTCTCTCCTCCTTTCTATCCCTCCCGGGGCCGAGCCTACATTCGAGTTTTCCTCTTTCTGCACGCGGCCGCTGCAGCCTCAGCCCCTTCATCGCTCGCCACTCAGACTTCAATTAATTTCGCTGGTTCTGGGCCGACCGTTTTCCAATTTCGAGTTTCTACGGTGAACACGAGCGCTCTCGATAGGCGGCGGTACGCGGGGAACGAGACGGGAATGTGAAACGCTTCTCTTACACATACACACACACACACACACACACGATCGAGGGAAGAGGATGATGTGTCGATATTTGTGTATGTGCGCGTGTATCGCGGTGCGTGCGACAGAGCGTGTGTCGCGCACGTGGCGAACGTTGACGCGAAAAATTAATTACATATGCGCGTCGCCCCGAGGTCGTCTCGGGACGACGACGTCGTAGCTCGCACAAGAAGGCGTTCTCGCCAAGATTACCCATCGGGGTTGCAGCAGACCGGAACTTCGCGTTTAATAATTTATATTCGCGCGTGTGATATATTTTGCGCGCCAACCCGCACCGCGGGATTTCCTCGCTCTCTAAAATCACGACGTACGTCACAGAGACGAAAACGATATCGAAACTCCGCAACACGGCGCGCGATATTTGTCCCTCCGCGAGACGCGGAACGTGACGCAATGCAATTCCGCGGGCGTAAGATACGCACGAGAATCGACGCTGGTACACATTGATCCGAAAGGAGAGGGAGGTGCACGCCGATTGATTTACAATGGCCGAAGGTGTGGCGGAATCCGACACCAATATCATGCCGATGGCCGGCCGGGCGCGCGTCGACAATTATCGTACCGGACAAAGGCCAACGACGCGGGGGTGTGTGGCGCGTATACACACATCTATCCTCATATATACGTCTGGCCTACGGGTCTTTACGCAGCTGACGCAGCGTGTCTCGCATTAAGAAAGCGCGTGGGTCACGTGCGTGGGCCAACACCCGCATATACGCGCACAACAGACCACGCACGTGCGCGATATACGCAACTCAGCGAAACAAGATCCGCGTTCTTCACCGGGTGGTTTGTCTGCGAACGGACGCGATTTGACTTTTCCGATCGTCGGAAGGGGGAAAGGAATTGCAAGTTCGAATCTCTTTACGCGCTTTGCGAATCTGTTTGTTTCATTCTTCGATTCGAGAGAAATTATTCCTTCGATTGGAGCGCGAATTTAATTCGATGTGGAAAGAGACAAGTTAGTAAACAAGAGACATTTGAGAAGATTATATACACCGCGTTAGGTCGCGAACGGTACGCGAATACGGAATCGTCGTCGCGCATACCGCGCGTTCATAAGAGAGAATCGAAGTTCAAACTCCGGAATAATGTTAGGAAAATACGAGCGTGCTCCTCGAAGCGAGGAGAGAGAGAGAGAGAGAGAGAGAGAGAGAGAGAGAGAGAAAGAGACAAAGAGAGAGAGACCGCGTTTCCTGCTAGCGCGGAACGGGACATTCTCACCCACCGCCCCGAGTGTCCTGCGAACTATATTGTTGGTCCGATATCGCAACAACATCTCAACAACGCCGTTTGCAAAGGACCCGAATAAATTTACGTAACGAACGACGTGAGATGTGCGGATGTGCCGCGCGGCGAGTTTGCAGGATACGCGCATGCTGAAGCACGTGTCGCCGCCGTTGCATCGCGAAATAATGCTAATAACAGCGCCGCGTTAAGTTTCTTGATTTATCGTTTCTCGCGACGACGGCAGATGCTGTTTTAGCATCAACGGTCGGAGGGAACTGCGATCAGAATTCATGCAACTAAATATAACATTATCCTGAGGACGCGCGCGCGCGCGCACATATACACACACAGATGTGTTTTCAGAATCCTCAAAAATCTTCGGTAAATGGACATTAATTGTAAAACTTTAGACTGTCGACTACTTGAAATGTTATAAAAGTAGAAACAAAATAAATTTTTGGAGTTGCAACGAATATTAAACAACTTTTTTTTAAGTATTCTGCTATTTTGAAACGTTTCTTACTATTTAGTTGAATATCAAGTAGTTTTTTAAAAAAGAATTTTAAGAAATAGTGGCTGACTGTTGCCATTTCAGCCGCGGATAATTTTAACATGCACAAGTATCTAATTTATTTATTTTCATATCTAATAAAATTAAATAAAACACAAAAGAAACCAAGTTTAAGAACTAAACTTTCATCAATTTAACGTATACATGTTTTTTGACAATAATTGTTCAATTATAATTCGTTATTAAGAATAAATAATTCTACAAGACTAAACAATCAAAAAGTTTTAATTAAGTAATTTTTGTAAAACAGTAAAACCTCCCGCGTATTTAAAATTTGAATAGTCTAGTTGACTCGTTGGTGTCAAAATCGTGCCTGATATTCGTTGCATCTCTACTTTTTAATGTGTAAAGAAAAGTAAAAATAAAATAAATTTAAATAACTTTTTCGATATATAATATATAAATTTTACATGTGAAAAAGATTAAAACAAAATTTATGTCTTTGCAATTAAAGATCTTTGATAAAAATAATAATTAAAAAATCGGAATAAATGTTTGTAGCGCGATTTTTGAAACATTTTTTGCATAAAAATTGCTACGAACCGTCCGAATGTGATTTTCTATTCAGAAAACACGTTCCATCTACCTCACACAGAGATTTTGTTCCAAATGCGACTATCTAATCTATGATATGTCTATTATAATGATAAGAGCGGTGCTATCTGTAGGCCATTAGCGACATTAAATAGTTTCATTCGACAAGTTCGGTGAAACTCGCAAGATAAGGAAAATAAACCAGTCGATAATACAAGCATCTCTTCGTTATCGATGTATAATAAATGTGTAAAATCGATTGTGTCATAACAAACGAAATATAACGGAGACTTTGGATAAGTGCCATTTGACAAGTTTCGAGAAAACACGCGACTTGCTTAAAGTTTAAAAATCTATAAAAAAAAAAAAAGTAAATAGGAAAGTACCAAATATTAAATTTTAACAAAACGAGACAATTTTGATGGATAATTAGTTAACAACCGTTTTTTTTTTTTTCATTTTGATCATTTCGTTTATGTAATATTTTTAAATTGTTTAAATTCGAAAATGCAAATGCAATTATTAGAATTCAAATAACAGCGCGATTTACCAAATCGTGACGGACTAATCAGAAATCGGAAAACCCTTTGCTCATGTCCAGACTCTTAAAGGTCTCTACTTTAAAGTTCCTTCACCCTGTTTGAAAACGCTACTTGTTTCTGTATTACAGAGATTTTTTTGATACATCTAGAGCCGACTGTATTTTTTTTAAGTATATTACATATTCGTTTGATGTTAAAGCAACTTTATCAAAAATGTGTTCCGCTAAGTTTTGGGATCAAAAGTGTGAAGGGTTATGTCAACACTCGTTGTATAATCTACAGAGATGAGGTTTTTTTACGACGTTTATCGACGACTGAGTATAAGCTGTCATCCAGCGAAAAGGATTTGTCTAAAAGCCCCCCTGACTTGCCGTCTCAATCGCAAATCATCATTGCCGGTGCTGGCACAGTCGCTAATTCAGTCGCCTATCACTTGATTCTTAATGGTTGGAACGATGTTCTTGTTTTGGAGCAAAACACGTAAAAATTTCTGCTATCTTTTTACTTTAATTTTCTAACATTTAAATGAAAAAAATGCGACTGACTCACTATCTATTGCTAATTTGTTATCTAATTACACTGCAGATCTTGTTCATTTTTGTTTATATTTTAGTTTTATAATATTATTTTATTTAAATTCTGTTTCCAATTTTGTAGTTAATGCGATACCAGATGTTTTGCTAAGCAGACTGTTTACATGACTAATGAAAACACAAATGACATTAGCTTTAGTAATAATTTCAGATTAAAATTACTGCCAAGTTGTATACAAATTGGAAACAGTTTGCTTACTAAGTTGTTGCAGTTAGAGTTAATGTTTCATTTTTTTTTTTTTAGAATTGGCAGCGGATCTTCACACTTTGGCTCTGGCACTCTTGGTCTCTTCAAGCCCATCTCTCGCAGGAACTTGATTGCATACAGTATCAAATTGTATCAACAGTTGCAAGAGATGGGCTATGATATAGGGTTAAAACAATGTGGTAGTATAAATTTGGCACAAACTAAAGATAGGATGGTGGCTTTAAAAAGAAGAGTAGCGTACAATGTGCCAACTGGGCTGCATTGCGAAGTATATAATTTATAATTTTTACACACTTGTGATCATATTCTTTGTTACCTTCAATATATTGAAGCCAATATATAGGTTTTAGGTAAAGAAGAATTAAAGAGACTACATCCTTATTTACATACTGATGATCTAGAAGGAGCAATTTGGGTGCCAGAAGATGCCGTTGCTAATATCAATGCAATTTGTAAGATCTTAGCAAAGCTGGCAAAACAAGGAGGAGCACGATATATTGAACACTGCTACGTAGAAGAAGTAAAGACTGAGAAAGGTGCTGTTAAAAGTGTCAAGACTGAATATGGTACCGTTTCCTGCGAGTATTTTATTAACTGTGCAGGAATGGTAGATACATCTTTATGTCAGCTCTAAAAACAAACTTGCTGCTATTTTAATTAACAGTTATTTATCCATTTTTTATTTTGGTAAGTAAACTTAATATGTTTTAGTGGGCTCGAGAGCTGGGATTAAGATGCACACCACCTGTCAGAATTCCTGCATATCCCGCGGAACATTTATATGCAATTATACCCCCTTTGTCATCGCAAATGAGCACATCTTTGCCGTATGTTCGAGATTTTGATTCGTACTCTTACTTTAGAGAATGGCAAGGTGACTTGTAATTCATATAATACAGTGTATTAAACTTTAGCTTCTATGCACACACTTGCTATATTAATATATTTCATTTATATATTAATATTTGTCATGATAAAAAATTTAACGATGACAGGTGGACTACTACTCGGCTGGTTTGAGCCTGATGCAAAATCTGCATTTGGAAGTGGCAATGTCCCTACAAAAAATTGGACAGATTACGTGAAAAGTGATCAGACTCATTGGCAGCCATTGTGGGACAAAGCTGTGCATAGATTGCCGATCTTGAAAGAAGTGAAACATCTCAACATATATAATTGTCCTGACAATTTTACTTCTGATGGTAGATGGATATTGGGGGAAAGTCCCGAAGTGAAGAATTATTATGTTGCTGTTGGGATGAATGGCAATTCGTTGCAAGGTAAATTTCTTTCAAATATAAATTAATCGCGCGCGCGACTTTGTTTTTCAACAATTAAGCTCAAATTTTGTTTAAAGGTGCTGGTGGGATTGGAAAAGAAATTGCTGAATGTTTAATAAACGGCGAATCTACGCAAGAAGTGCTCCCATTTAGTGTGCAACGATTTCTTGATTTACACAACAATAAACAATATTTGCAACACAGAGTGAAGGAAGTAGTCGGTCGAAATTATGCTATATTGTATCCTCATCAGTCTGAATACAAATATGCCCGTAAATTACGTTGTTCGCCTTTGTATTCAGTTCTGGAGGAACGTGGAGCAATTTTTGGTGTAAAAATGGCTTATGAACGTCCTCTTTACTTCGACTCTACTTACGAACGTAAGTATGTGTGTAATCCTATATAAAAAAAGTCATTTGGACCGAGAAGTACACGTTTTGGAGCCGAATGTATCGCATCTATTGTTGCCTCTTTTCCGCCTTGGCGGGGTCATTGACCTCGGCCGCACGACCTTGGCGGGGTTACTGACCTCGGCCGCGCGGCCTTGGCGGGTTCACTGACCTCGGCCGCGCGGCCTTGGTGGGGGGGGGGTCACTGACCCGGGCGCGCGACCACATTTTTTTGTATAAAATATATATCATATTGTAATAAGAAAAGAGTTTATATATTGTTTACGTAACACACACACTTGCGCGTATGTAAAACTGATATATAAATTTCCAAAAGGTGGACAGAAAAAACCGGTCATGCCAAAAGGCAGCTTTTACAAACCAAAATTCTTTGATTTTATAAAAGAGGAGTTTATGGCATGTAGGGAAAGCGTTGGAATCATTGACATGAGCTCGTTTTCTAAGATCGAAATCAAGGTAACTTTTTTTCTTTCTCTGATTCTTTCTATTAATTAATTAATTTCTTAATCTCGATTGATATATTTTGTTGCAGTCTAGTCGCAAAGAGGTAGTAGAATATTTACAACGTTTATGTTCTAACGATGCCGATATACCAGTCGGTGGTATAGTTCATACGGGAATGCAAAATGAAAAAGGCGGTTACGAGAACGATTGTATGTTAGTGCGACAAGATACAAATAGCTATTTTATGGTCTCACCCACGTCGCAACAAACACGTATTTATCAGTGGATGTCTAGGTAAATGTCATTCTGTTTAATTAAAATGCTCGGACTAAAGAAATAATTAAAGCGTTCTTTCTTCTAACATTATTTATACTCTCTCTCTCGTTCTTATTGAAATATATTAGACATTTGCCAGCTGATCACTCAGTAGGTCTTAACGACGTGACTTCTAAGTACACGGTCATTAATCTAGTAGGTCCCAAAGCTACCGATCTACTTTCAGAGTTATCCAACTCTGATATCAATCTTTCACCTTTCACTTATAAAGTAAGTTATTTTTATTTTTACTTTTCTTAATGTGTGTATAAAAAATTTAATTGATCGTTTGAAAATAGATGGTAAACGTCGCATACGCTTCCGATGTTATGGTAATGGCGTTCACGCATACCGGCGAGTCTGGCTATTGCCTCTACATACCCTCGGAATACGCGCTACATGTTTATTCGACATTAATGGCTACGGGAAAGGATTATGGGGCGAGAGACGTTGGTGTTCTCACGCAACGTTTTATGAGGATAGAAAGATTTATTCCATTTTGGGCTGAGGAACTAACACCGTATGTTACGCCGTTCGAAGCTGGGAACAGCTACAGCGTAAGATTGGATGTTAGTATTTAGTGTTGAGACTCTGTTCTATTTCTATGTTTCTATCGTTATTATAAAATACAAACATATAACTTATGAATTATATATTAATAAATTTTGTGTGTAATTCTTATTATTCAGAAGGATTATTTTATCGGTAAAACCGCCTTGCAACATCAGAAATTACGCGGAGTGACAAAGCGATTAGTTTTGTTTGTACTTAACGGTATGGATTTGAACAAAGACGTGTGGGCCTGGGGTGGTGAGCCGATATATCGAAATGGCGAATTTGTTGGCACTGTTACATCAGCCGGGTAAATATCTTTTATACACGAAAATATTTTAGCTCTTAACGATAAGTAAATCACGGATAACTAGCGTTTGGTTATGATAATCCACGCTTGTCTGTGGTTACTGATAGATAACGATCTCATTTAAAGCTTCATCTTAAACACATCTATTATGTTTTTTTCTATTGTGAACGATAGTTGTTAAATATTATTACATTTCTCTATTTCAGCTATGGTTTTAACACGGAGAAACTCATTTGTCTCGGATTTATTAGCCTACCCGGAGCAAAGCGAGACACAAACGTTATTACCACCGACTTTATAATGACTCCATCGGCATATTACGAAATCGACATCGCCGGAACCAGATTTCCCGCTAAACCCCACGTCAATCCGTTGCCCATACCGTTAAATACTAAATTAAAAAAATATATTCCTACTCCAGTTGTGTCGTATCAAAGCGATGTCTCAAAATAAGTAATATTCTAGTCAGTTTTGTTTTTTTGTTTTTTTTTTAATTATCTCGCGAGATTCATCACCGAATATAGATAAATATTATGTTCCTTGTATTATTCTATGTACGTAATGCACAATATTGCTCACATGTAACAAATATTGTAATATAGAGCTGACACAAGTAAGATAAAGCAGAACAATGGAGTTTGTTCTTGTTATTTTTTTTAAATACGTTCAATATCGTTGATATTAATTTACTTTTTGGTTTCGAGCGTCATTAGATTTTTAAAACAAAAAAACAAATAATTTACAAGAACACATAGAAATAGATGAGCCAACATATCATAAATAAAACTAAACATTTATATAATCCATAATCACATAAAAATAACAAATAAAGAAAATCTTGTCACGATGTATGATTGTCTTTATTTGCGGAAATCAGTGCGATTGATTTATACGGATACTACGCATGCAATATAAAAAATATTTCTTTTAGCTACATGAATATATAAGCATATGTCTTTACATTAATTACATATATGAATATTTCTTTATATATATTTCTTTATACTTAATATTATAATAATAAAATTATAATAAAATTAACAGAACTTTTTCTTGTAAAATTACTAAACATATAAATTTCAGCCTGTACTTGTGAATAAAACCAAAACAATACGCGTTTATAATACAGAAGAAACAGTTGTAGATAAAAGAAACAAATAAAATTGATTTTGTGTTGCACTCATTTTTGTGCGGTCCCTTCGTCGTCCATCGATGTATCTTCCTCCGCTATGTAATCCTCAGTCCCCTCAGTCCTCTCAGTCATCCATAGTCCGCTCAGTCTCCTCAAGTATCGGTAGTGGCACAGCAGCTTTGCGACGTCCCACGTAGTCTCACGTAGTCCCACGTCGCACTTTTTTCACTCGCGACGCGGAAGACGCGAAATACACACTCGCGCATATACACACGCACGCACAAAATAGAATATTTTTTATTATGTATAAAAATTCTAACGTTCATACTTTAATCAAACTTTTCTCAACTATCGAACTTCTCAANACTCGAACAAGTCAAACCGAAAATGTGCATTTTGCACTTACAATATATACGAATATCTATATAAAATTAACTACGCGAATTTCTCTAAATAAAATGATATTAAAACTTTGCAAAACGTGAATACTCTAATAAAAACAGATTATATATTTACGAGGTAAAGAAACAGCAATTTTATAACAAATAGACTATATATTTACGATGTATTTACTTAAATTACTATTGATTTCTTTTAAAACAAGTTATTTTATAANGGTTACGAGTATCGGTTTATTTCACAGTTGAAATTATGTTTACAATTACTGAAAATAAAGTAACTACTCTCGCGGTTCGCACTGATTTTTTGCACCACCACCAAAAAACCCTAAAGAATTACATACCGAACGCTGGCCACCTTCTGCTACAACACCAATCTCTGTAACANCATCTCTGTAACAAAAATAAAATTTACTTTTTAATGTTACATGCAANAGAAAACAATATAGCAAAATATATAATATTTTACGTAAATAAATAAGAATTTTTCGGTATTTTCTAAGAAAATAAGTTTATTANTTTTGAATTACACATAAAAAACATTAAAATGATTATGAAACATACCTTTGTGTCAGCATGTGATTGCTTGTGCAATTCCTTCGTCGTCCATCGATGTATCTTCCTCCGCTATAAAATCCTCAATCCTTTTAGTCCCCTCAGTCTCCTCAGTCTCGAAAGTGGCACAGCAGCTTTGTGACGTCCTGAATCCGCTTCCGTAGTAATGTCGACCGATTATCAGGACTTCTGGATGCTCAGGATGCAGGACTACATCAGGACTGCTCGCTCTGATCTTCTTCACATTTACACTTTAACAACATACACTTTATTACTTTTTTATTCGCGGAACCGCCAACGACTGCGAAACGATTTTACCACAAAACTCGCACTTTAGAATTACCAGCGACGCTAATTTTGTATCACTTTGAATGCNCGATATACTAATTACGACACAAGTTCCGCTCCTCGTCCGCCACGTCTACCCGCCGAAACGAATGTATCGAAGCGCGCGATATTGCGATTCTCGAAATATCGAATCGACGCGCGCGACAACTTGCTTTCGCATTCACTCACTCGCAGAAATGTAGAAGCAGAATACATAATGATTTTATAATATTTAATATTGATAGAAGCTAATTATGATCTGGAGAAATAAACTTCATTCCTTTTTACTCTGTTTCGTCCGTTTTATATGTCGAGAAAGCGCGAACAACCGCAAAACGAATACCGCAAAACTCGCCGATTAGACTGTTATTAACAATTGCGCGACGTTAATTATGTATCACCGCGAACGCTCGATACATCGCGACACACACTTATTAACGATATTTAGCCGTGAGACGACAATAATCGCGAGAAACGACGAGAGAAGTTGGTCACAGCTACGTTCCGTGTCGCGCGGCCGCCATTTCGTGGCTCGCGCGCGTCGGGTCCCGCGGTACGCGAACATTTGCAAGACAATTTCACCGTAAAATATGCCAATTAGACTTACTGGCGACGCTAATTATGTATCGCTTCGAATGTCTGATGCGTCAGGATACACAGGTACTTCCGATGGTTCCCACGGAACGACAATAATTGCGAGAAATGACGAGACAATTTGAACTAGTTCCACTCCGTGCTGTACGTCCGCCGCGACTAGCGCTGAGTGTATCGAAGCGCGCGAAGTTTCGAGAATCGAAAGGTCGATGTATCGAAGTATCGATAATCGATTAATCGCTGGTACACTGATTCGAGCCAAATTAATCGAAAACATACGTAGATCATCTCGTTTTTATATTTCTACATGTGTATGTGTATGTGTGTATATATTTACTTTAATCCACTTGCTGGTAATTGCTTTATATATTTCATTTATTTTATTTAAAATCACGTCATGTATACGAATAGATGCAATACAGAGTATAAAACAATATATACAATGCGGAAGTGTTTTTACAGTACATAAATATGTGCAAAAAGTTGCAATTTCAAGAATTAAGGTTACTCTTTAGTGTTTTATGAAAATCACATACACACATACACATATCTACATATATTTCAAGGGATGGTACGATTTCTTATGTGCGTTTTACAATTTTCTTTTATATATTAACACAATAGCACAAATAAATACGAAATATTATTACAATAATATTTCCGATAAGAAGCACAAAATTTTTACTTGCACATCAATTATATTTTTGGTAAATTTACTTATTGTATATTTATTATTCTCTCCATCCCGTATTAATTACGCGATAAAAATTGTATTTAATGTGTCATGATGTTTTTGTATATGTCGTAATTCTTACTAATTATTCTCACGTTGTTTATATACAATAAGTGTGATTTAATCTTACATTTATACAAATATAATTTAATCTTCTATCTATATGCATGTGCATGTATGAAAATATTAATTATTTTAGAGTATAAAAAAGAAGGTAGTACAAAATGGATTATTGATAATAATTTACTGCACGAAATAAACGCGATACGCGATACGCGGTGTATTTGCAATAACGGAATTGAACGATGATTGCTAAAGAAAAACCTTAGTTTGTTCTCGCACGAAATTATGCAATAAAACTTGTTTAATTGAACAACAACACGTGCGTTTCAAGCGCTCGGAAAGAAATGAAATCTCTGAAACTCTTCGCGTCGCGCGCCAAAGGTCACGTAGTAGTAGGGGAGCGGTCGACTGGAACGTCAAAACAACTCGAAATAAACAACATTTCTTTTTTCTCCCTCTTTCTTGGTTCTTTCATCAATATATAATACAATAATATACACCCACAGTTTTACGTTATATGTTAAAATTCAACGCTTGCATTAAGTTTCCTTTATTTCTCTGTTTCTCAATAATCAAGAGAGAACAAAAGTTTTCTCCAACGATATATTTATTCTTCGATCGGTCGCGAAAATAGAACGCAAATATTCGCCAAACAAACTACAATATTCCGTATAAATTGTTACGCAGCTCGTAAAAATCTGAATATTGTTTAAAATACGTTTTTATTGGAACGAAAAAAGAAAAATGATTACGCTCGCGCATAACAGAATCAAATCAGTAAAAAATAGCAGTTTTGTCCACGAGGTTCGCGTAATTGACGTGGACATCGCGGCGCTCGTAAACGGGAAGACGGGAAATTGCATTTATGGCCACTCTCATTCTTTCGTATTTGCAACAATCTAGAGGAACAGACCAATCACAGACAACAAGCAGGGAAGCGTTGAATTTTGCTGAACGCGATCAGTAGTTTTGATTAAAAAAAAGAACCGACCAATTGTGGTTTGGAAATCAAGGAATTCGTCAAATCGTCGTGAATGTTCGCGCGCGATCCGACACAAAAACATCGCGTGGGCCATGGCGTAGGCTTTCCTGAAGGTCTCTAGAATCTCTAGTTATTTAGTACGTCACCTAGTACAATCTCGCACATTGCTCTCTCTCTCTCTCTCTCTCTCTCTCTGATCGCTTATCTCGTGAAACGCCGAAGATAAAAATTGCAACTGTCAAGTGTTTCGATCTGCACGTATTCACGCGATAGAAAAACATGTTTTTTGTGCTGTAAGCACAACTCGATTTAACGGCGTTCGCGAGTAATTAGCACAACTGAAAGAAAGCAACTCGGTGTCGAGGAACGAGTGACGTTTCTCTCGTCTTTTATGTGGCTTCTCATGGTGCTGTCCTAAAATTCTGTCGAGATATGACAAGTAGGAAGTACGTACGTGAGAGCTAGTTTATTCATTTGCTGTGATCTCGGTTGGCCAGTAATTAGTTCGCGTGATAATTCCACGAATCACGACGTCGAATAGTGACAATATCGAATGTCGTGAGAAGCGACCGTATCTGTTGCACTCTGCCAAATTGGTAAGTTAGTTTATATCTCGGAATTGTAGTGTTAAAAATTATAATCTTTGATCTGTAAATTATTTTATAGAAGATAAATGTTTTTGTCAAGTTTGTTTGGATACTTTATAGCAGAGATATATTCTGAATTGCACTTTCATCAAGTGGAATGGAACGCAGTATTCATGAGATGTTAAAAGATGCGCCCTCCTTGAATGAGAGCGACAGTGCTGTACATACGGGAACACCTCCTCCTCATGTACCAAATAACTGTAGTAATGATAACCATCCAAGACCAGCCACTATTAACTTGAACTTGGGAAGTCCTACAACTCAGACTTGTGTGTAAACATTTTTTTGCAAGTATATGTGTCAACAGATGAACTTCTGGCAATTGTAAAATTTAAACAATATACTTTTGTAGCAGTGGTAGTTACTCCAAATACACCTATTCAGAATGGGGACACACAGACTATGCGTACCACTCAAAGTAAAATTGAGAGTCTGAAGAATTGGAGCATCTCTACATACAAATGCACCAAACAATTAATGTATGAGAGATTAGGGAAAACATCACGTACTGTAGATTTTGGTAAGTTCTTGTAAAAAAATAGTGTGTCTCATAGATTTATTTTTCTATAATTTTTGTAAGAGAGAAACACTGTGATTTTTTCTCATTTATATTCTGTTATATTTCAGAACTTGAAACACAAATTGAGTTGCTTAGAGATACTCAGAGAAAATATTGCAATGTTCTGCGATTGTCACGAGCTTTAGCATCACACTTTCATCACGTTGTTCAGACACAACACGCTCTTGGAGAAGCATTTTCTGAATTAGCACAGAAATCGCCTGAGCTTCAAGAGGAATTTCTGTACAACTCAGAAACGCAAAGAAATTTAACGAAAAACGGCGAAACACTTTTAGGGGCCTTAAATTTCTTTGTTTCCTCTGTGAATACACTGTGTAATAAGACAATTGAGGACACACTGCTTACAGTGAGACAATATGAAACTGCAAGGTTTGTGAGTTTTAAGTTGGAAATTTGTTTTTCGTGTTGTTCTATGCAAATTTTACAAACATATGTGTATAATTTTATAGGATAGAGTACGATGCGTATAGAACAGATCTAGAGGCTCTTGTTCAAGCTACGAAGTCGGATGGTAGTAATGCAGCAAGATTAGAGGAAGCACAAGCTAATTATGAGGGGCACAAGCAGAATTTCGAAAAATTGCGCTCAGACGTATCCATTAAGCTAAAGTTCTTAGATGAAAATAGGGTATTGTTCAATTTCTATAATAAATCTTTTTTTCTATCTGATGTTTAATTGATCGATTTAATGAGTATTATTTCAGATTAAAGTAATGCATAAGCAATTACTGTTATTCCACAATGCTATATCCGCTTACTTTTCGGGGAATCAAACCGCATTGGAAGCAACCCTCAAGCAATTCAATATCAAGGTGAAGTCACCAAATTCGACTTTACCGTCATGGTTGGAGCAGTAGTTGTTATCTGAATACTTCGTCCTCTGTCGCAAGGAGATTTAAATACGTAAGTGTGTTCGTCCATCGAGTTATCCCATTGCAAAAAAAAAAAAAAAATGCAAAAAGTAACAATAGAACAATCATAAAAGATAGTTCGACAATTTTTGCTGGTATATATCGAAGAGCTGCCGTTTTAGTCTAACACTGTTTATATAACAGAAAAACTTATATGCGTGAGTCTTGATGTATAGACTGAGTCCGCGAGAGGTATGGTATATTTAAATATCAATCAATGTATAATATCTACGGCATACATTATGTATCATAAAAATTATTAATTCTTTTAAGAGAAAAATATTGAAGAATCTCTAAATCACTTAGTCAACAGTATTTTGACATAATTTTCAATGCTTTTGACATTAAAAGTGGCGCAACGTTTTACTGAATAGTTTAATTTTCATATTTCTTTTGAAGTAGCTTTAATGCGTGCGTGTAAATACGTACTGTGACATATAAACAGTATACAACACATGATATGTTGAATTTTCTATATACTTTAGAGTATATATTTACTAATATTAAGTGCTTGCTCTTTTTTACATCGCACACATTAATTTGTAACTTGATAATAAAAGGATATTATCTACTATCCTTAAAAAAGACTAAACTTCATGTATTATTTTATAAAAAAAACATATACTTGAGTTTCCTAAGGCTGAATTATAGAAACTCTTCTACTCGTAAATAAAGTTAAATAAGTTTAATTATTGCACATTTCAATGTTTTGTGTAAAAAAGTGATTGGAAATCTCAAAATATAGTATATTTTAGAAACGTGTATAAAAAATGGCAAAAAAAATTACAAAGACGTTAAAACAAATATTTTTAATATCTTCCTTTTTACCTCTTGGAACATTTTGCTTATTATCAGAAGAATCTAACCACGTATTGCATATTAACCAAAATATATCACAAATATCAACGTATTTGCCGAAAGTAAAATATATTTCGTATTCTTTATGTTTTAATAAATATTACATCACATAATAGAAAATATAAAAAGTATATTAGTTATTGTTGTTAGATGATATAGTCTACAGTTATTATATGTAATATATTAAAATATATCTGTTTCTCTTAAAATGTAGATTGTTGGTAAAGAATCAGAAACAGACTTAGAAGACCTATGATTCATATGTAGGAGAAATGGATCTGATTTTATATAATATATATAATAATCGTAGAGCAAAATTATACTTTTTTTTGTTACAAAATTTATTAGTTTTATAGCTCAAATTCTGAGCAAAACAGTGAAAAAAAACTAGTCAGTTTTTTGTTTAAACATCTATCTTTATCTACTTATTTAAAAATGGAGAGTATAAAAAAGATAAAATTATGTGAATACATAAGTTCAATTGCATTTCCTATTGTAGCGGGAATATGATTTATGTGTAATTGCACACTACACACGGTTTGCAATTTCCAAACATACCTCGGAAACCCCAAAAACTATTTTACAGCTCGAAAAGTAATTGTTTGAAACAAATTTATATTTATTACACTTGCTATATAATAATTGCAACACTGATTATGATTAATGAACAGAATTAAATTAGCTATTAGTAGAATAAAAAATACATTATATATATATATATCAATACAGATGTTATACATATGCCACGAGATTGCAAGAAAATGATTCTTTTTGTGTATATACGATACTTAATAAACGTTTCGCATGTGTTTATAGTGAGTGTATACGCGAAGTCAAAAACTACAAAATAGTATCAATAGCCTCAGCAGATTTCTATCATTTCACATTTGCATCTGATGGCCGCAAAATAATAGCGTGCAATAACATAGAAAGTGTAATAACTCTGGCCTCTAATATGTATAACTGCTAACACAATATTCATATATCTGTATATACTCTTCACTCTTGCCAACATTTTTTATATATTTATCCTTCTTTCAGTAGTTTGTAATATAATTTGCTACATAATCAAATTGCATTTTCCAAAGTTATAGTGTTCTTTATATTAAAGTCCGATCTGACTTTTATAACCGGTAAATATGTAGATCTGTTTTTAATTCTAAGAAATGCTACATACATACTAATTTCCAGCAAGAGAACCATGTGAAACTCTTAAAACATTCCTTATTATTTATAATTAAATATATAATAGCTGTGTACGTGAGAGAAAAAGAGAGAAAGAGATATGTTCCTAATTATGATGTTATTGTGTGTGTATATTATGTGTATACAAATTCTTAATAAATAAATGCTTATATATATATAACTTTTTCTTAACATCTCAAATCAACACCTTTCATGAAGGAGTTGAATTGAATTGATTCGTGTATAAATGCTATGCTTTAAGTTATTTGTTATTAATATATAAATATAAATCTTTGCTCCAACATATTTAATATTTTTCTTATTTGTTATTAATGTATATTAACATCTTTGTTCTAGCTTCTTTAATATTATTTTTCTTCATTTAACAACGAGCTAGAAAAGAGAGCGCAAAAATCAAGAAAAGTAAATACTGGAGATCTATAATTCACGTGACATATATTATAGATTTCCAGTACTGACAGTGAATTTTGGAACGCAACTTTTGTATGCGATAATTTGCGCTAAAGAGGGAGAAAAACAGAGAAAGGTTAAGTCAAGGAAATATGTTTAAAACAAGTTTCACAAAATGGACAATTTTCTAGGTAGTTTTATTTCTTTAGATTTTTTTTTATTGAATCTCAACAATATAATTTATAATTTTTTAATCTTGATTTATTGTAAATTACGACTTATTCGTTGTATTATTTAGTAACGAGCGCAGCTGCTGTTAGAGAAAAATTTTTAACAACCGGTTGTTCAAAATTAGATGCAAAATTGAGAGGTGGTATACCTTGCCGTGGTATCACACAAATTTATGGTGCTGCTGGCACTGGAAAGACACAGTTGGCTCTACAATTGTGTCTTACTGTTCAATTGCCAGTAACCACAGGTGGTTTCGGAGCTGGTAATCAAAACATTTAAAGAATATTAATTCAAGAATGTATATAAAAGTTAATTAAAAAAAAACTTTAGTTATGTAAAACATTGCTTATTCTCTTAGTCATTCATTTTCTAAATATTCTATAAAAAATGTTATATACTGTGGATATGAATTACATTCAGAATAAATTTAACTCCAATTAGAGATAAACAAACTTACTCTTGCTGATGTTAATTAGGTGCCATATATATTTGCACGGAAACCGCTTTTCCTTCAAAACGATTGCAACAATTGCTGCAGAGCTCAGAGATAGCTAAATCTCATCCAGTGAATGGAGATGTGATATTTGTAAACCATGTAGCTACTACTGTAATTGCAATTTTATATTTACATTGTTATACATAAAAAATACCTAATTAATAAAGTACTTATTATCAATTAATAAGATATCACATGTACATAGTTACATTGATATCTAATTTAATTACTTATTGAAGAAAATATTAATGATTTATACATCACATTAGATTATTGTAATTGTTAAAGGATGAACTGGAATTATGCTTGAGATACAAAGTTCCAATACTGATGAAAACTCATAAAATAGGATTAATAGTTATTGATTCAATAGCTGCTCCTTACAGAATAGAAGATTGGAAAGATCAGTCACAAGGCATATCCAAGAGAAATGTTGGAAGACAATTGCACAAACTTTGTAAAAATGATGATTTATGTGTAATCTGCATTAATCAGGTGAAAGATTAAATTTATACAATCATATTGTGTAAATAAATTAATTTCCACATATGTGTTTAGGTGTCTGCAGTTATAGACAGTCCTAGTCTTATTACTGAGGATGTAAATGAAAAACCAGCTTTAGGATTTACTTGGTCAAGCATGATCACTTCATCTTTATATTTCTACAGGAAAGCTTCTTCGCGATTCATTCAGATAATGCTAGCCTCACACTTACCAAGAGCTACTTTTCAATTTGAAGTAGAAGAATCTGGAGTTAAAGCAATTGAATAATAAAGATGCATCATATCATGTGACAAGATTTGATTTTATTCCATTAATTTTTTCATATATATCACGAAATGTATCCTCATCCAAAACTTTTATTGTACTAGTGACTTTATAATCAGACAGTACAGAAGTAACAAATGGATCTGCTGTTCTGACATCTATATTTTCTATATTGCAGTTTAATATTAACCTTTAAACAATATAATAAAGCAATCATACAGATTTCAGACACACACACACTAGGTTTCTGTATAAATTACCTGAGTGAATGCAGATAAGTTCTGTGAGGTTCTATATCTTTGCCTTCACTATATGTGTAATCTCCTACAACTGTATGGCCAATATGATGGCAATGAACTCTCAATTGATGACGTCTACCTGTACCAGGTGCCAGCAATACCTTGGTGGCAGGCTTACTTCGCCAAAATCCATGTTCCAGCACTATCAACACTGTAAAAGACCTTCGTGGTTTTTCGCAAAACACACTGTCACTTGTGCACATTTTGTGATTGCCACTTTTCTCTCGAATATCATCACCTTTAAAACAAATGATGAAGCTAAATAGTTTTACTCAATCTCCAATGATATTTTGATAAAACTACTATCACAAAATGAATGTACAAGGTGCTGACCAATAGGTTTGTCTATTACAATATGAGGTTTGTATATGTGACCGTGTACTAATGCCAAGTAGAATTTTTGTACATTTTGATTTTCGAAAGCAGAGGATGCCGCTTGGGCCGCTTTTTTATTTAACGCTATGCAAATGATGCCACTTGTCGGATAATCCAGCCGATGAACGAAATAAAATTCATGACACAATTTCGGATTAACCAAACCGGGCAACATTTTTCGCAATTCCAATTGAAGAGTATTCTGGAGAAAAAATGTAATACTGCATCTACATTTTTAAATAGTATTTTTACTATTTAATTTTTTAAATACAAATTATCTTTACTTTTCTGTCGGGATTGTTGCTATTTATGTACATGTCATAGGGTTTATTGACCATCAAAAAGTTTTCACTGCGATACACAATCTCGACAGATCTATGATTCTCGTTTCGATTATATAATAATCTTGCTATAGAGCAAGCTGTTAAACAAATAACCGAGTACACGAGATTGCAAATAATCAGAACGCACGTGTATAGAAATCGATTAACTTTTCGCCTAATCATCGCAGATGTTTATCTGCAATTTTTATCTCGCGGACATTTGTTTTTTTATGCACTACTACAAATAAATCAGTATCGACAAATTAGAATTTAAAATTTAACCAATCGTAATATTTATTTAATAAACTTGACATCAGTTTTCTTTGTTCCGATTGATTAAATTCAAATCTAATCTCCATCTTATTTCTGAATAAACATTTCAACATCTCGCCGCGAGCGCCACGATGTCTAAATTTTGTGCACGTTAACTATAAAAATCAACCCAGTGAATAAAAATGTCTATCTTGTCGACAGATTCGGTTCCGTGCTATGTGCACGCGCATAATCGATAATCGATACATCGACCTTTCGATTCTCGAAACTTCGCGCGCTTCGATACACTCAACGCCAGTCGCGGCGGACGTACAACACGGAGTGGAACTAGTTCAAATTGTCTTGTCATTTATCGCAATTATTGTCGTCCCGTGGGAACCATCGGAGGTACCTGTGTATCCTGACGCATCAGACATTCGAGGCGATACATAATTAGCGTCGCCGGTAAGTCTAATTGGCATATTTTACGGTGAAATTGTTTTGCAAATGTTCGCGTACCGCGGGACCCGACGCGCGCGAGCCACAAAATGGCGGCCGCGCGACACGGAACGTAGCTGTGACCAACTTCTCTCGTCGTTTCTCACGATTATTATCGTCTCACGGTCAAATATCGTTAATACGTGTGTGTCGCAATATATCGGGCGTTCGCGGTGATACATAATTAACGTCGCGCGATTGTTAGTAACAATTTAATCGGCGAGTTTTGCGGTATTCGTTTCGCGGTTGTTCGCGCTTTCGCGACATATAAAACGGACGGAACAAGGTGAAAGGAAATTAAGTGAGTTTATTTCTCCAGATCATAATTTGCTTCTATCAATATTAAATATTATAAAATCATTATGTATTCTGCTTCTACATTTCTGCGAGTGAGTGAATGCGAAAGCAAGTTGTCGCGCGCGTCGATTCGATATTTCGAGAATCGCAATATCGCGCGCTTCGATACATTCGTTTCGGCGGGTAG